CTCAAAACGAAGTGTCGTCTCGTTATTGGGGGAATTGGATTGTATGCTGATTGCCAGGAGTGTAAGCTGATTGTATGCTTTTCCTGCTCAGCTGCTTACAGCATTCATATGCTTGAGAGCATTCATATGCTTCTCCGGTTCAGTGGTTGTGGTGTCTGCTGCAGTGCTTGGAGTCCTCAGGAAGCGCTAGGAGCATCCTCCGACGGAGGTACCCAGTCGGGGTGCCAGGTGATCCGTTACACCTTTCTAAAGAAGATGAAGGTAAAGATGATGGACTGGCTAAGCATGCCTTCAGACCTAAACCCTATTGAGCATCTGTGGGGCATCCTCAAATGAAAGGTGGGGAAGCACAAGGTCTCTAACATCCACCAGCTCCGTGATGTTGTCATGGAGGAGTGGAAGAGGACTCCAGTGGCAACCTGTGAAGCTCTGGTGAACTCCATGCACATGAGGTTTAAGGCAGTGCTGGAAATTATTGGTGGCCACACAAAATATTGACTCTTTGGGCCCAATTTTGACATTTCCACTTAGGGATGTACTCACTTTTGTTGCCAACGGTTTAGACATTAATGGCTGTGTGTTAAGTTAATTTGAGGGGACAGCAAATTTACACTGTATACAGGCTGTACACTTATTACTTTACATTGTAGCAGAGTATAATTTCTTCAGTGTTGACATGTTGACACATGAAAAGCTATAATAAAATATTTTCAAAAATGTGAGGGGTGTAGTCACTTTTGTGAGAGTCTGTGTGTGTGTATATATATATATATAGGATATAACTTTTAATATTGAAATAAATTAAAATAATTTATGATAAATGTGGTGATAACTAGATCATATAAATCAGAACAAATGTATGTACTAAATAAAATACTGGAGGATCGATTAATTTCTAAATATTTAGTGATAATGAACAAAGGAGGTCCTGTTCAAAAGTTTTCAGGATAAATCTCCAAATAGTATATAGAAAACCAAGTTGGTTTTCTAATGCATTAAAGTATGTATCTAAATATGTTAACAAAACTGAAACAGCCAATCCATACAGTGTTAAATAAAAATTGCTACAGGCTTAGTGCTAGGTAGGATCCAAAACCTGCACTAGACTGTATAATGCAATAAAAGAAAAATTATTCTTCACTAATTAGACAGCTCATACAGAGGGAGTAGAAATTCCTACAAAAATATATCGGGAGCATAAGCTCTATGAACCCCCTACTCGTATGGCTAGTATAGGGCTACATGTCCAAAAACAAAATCTACGGAGTCTGAAGTTCATCTAAACGGACAACAATACTGTGGTAAGTATATGTCAGAAGAGCCCTTTCCCCTGACGCGCGCGTTTCGCCCACAGCTCATCAGAGAGGAACCGATGTGCGGGAAAAACCGATATAAAAAGGTAAGTGTTACCACTTGATTGGTCTAATTCAAAAGATGTCATACATAATTAACCAATAGAAATGAAACCGGTAGGTAGCGTCACTGGAGATCACAAATGGGTCAAGACTACTAAGGTGTACAAGTTTTAACCCCTTTATAAACCATCCTAAAAACGGAATGGAATACACGACAGGTTAGTTAACACTGTGAAAAAATATAATGAAACAAGAACGACAAGAAATGTAAAGAAATTGTTCATTTGAAAAAGGGGGAACTAAATATTAATGCCCAATTTAAGCCGGTGCCTAAAATGTAATTGCGAAATTAATGGCAGTTGGTACGTGCCCTCCACTTACTAATAAGGTGTGGGAATAGTAACTAAAAGGCATAATTCCAGATGTATAAAAATAAATATCGATATTAGAAATGGAAAGTAACACACGGTACAACATTTACAAAGACGTAATAGTGTTATAATAGGCACAGGTCGGACATAGGGATATAGTTCGATTACAGAGGGACATTGATTTTCGAACCCAATGGTATATTTAACTTCATAGATGGCAAATAATAAGTTAAAGTTTATTTGCTAGATAGCAAAATTATTATACCTGGGCTAGTCCTATAAGGCTTGAATGCCCAACTTGTGCTGGTGCCTAAAATATAATAGCAAAGTTAATTCCAAAGTTAATAAAGGCAATTAATACCTGTCCTCCACTATTCTAATGGGGTATGAAAAAGGTAACTTAAAACATTATTACAGATTTGTAGAAATACATATCAATATTAGTAATAGCAATTAGCTCACGGCACGACAATTGTAAAGTTGTGATAGTATTTTGATGGGCACAAAAACCGGACTTACAAATATAGCCCGATTACAGAAGGACATCAATAAGTAATTCAATATTTCAACCCAATAGTATTTTTAACTGAATGGTTTAAAGCAACAAGCTAAACAGACATATAGGAAACGAAAGGGGGATTTAACTATTCCCAAAGATATAGAAAATAATAATAACCATGTTACAATACCAATCTACTGGTGAGAGAATTACACAAGATGTGTATCATTTTAAAAAATGGCAACAATTATATTAACAGGTGCAGTACTGACGTTTATCTATTGCATAGGTGGCAGATAATGAATCAAAATTTATTTGCTAAATAGAAGGACAGCAAGATTGTTATAACTGGGCTAGTCCTACAAAAATAAAAGTTATAGTAATCTAAAGAGATTATCAAGAAATATGAATATAATGAAGCCCTCAAATGATGGTATACGATAGTTAAAATGTAATGATAGTGGAAAAAGATGAGGGGAAATATCCGCCAAGCTAGAGACTGAAGAAAATACTAAAAAACTATTTGATTAGACTGTGGTAACAATCTTAATTAAATATCATAATTTTAATGAATAAACGAAGTAAAATTAAATTCCTCATTGAGGCCCCCTGGAGTTAAGGTTTGGAATTCATATATCCATCTTGATTCCTTTTGTAATAAGATTAGATTGAAATTACCTTTTCTAGAATTCAAAGTGACTCTTTCAAGGGCTTGGAATGATAAATTGATGGGGTTACCATCATGAAAATTCCGAACGTGGTTTGCAACAGGTGTACTTAAATTAAGGTTTTTAACCGAATTAATATGTTGGAGAATTCGTCTCCTAAATTCCTGATAAGTTTTGCCAATGTATTGTATACCACATTGGCAAGTGATGACATAAACGATTCGTGTCGTACTACAATTTATGAAGTGTTTAACTTGATACTCTCTTTGAGTTTTTTGGCATATAACTGATTTAGAAGTTTTAACAAAGGGGCATGCTTTGCAATGTCCACACTTGTGAATACCAATTGGGGCGTTTAGCCAGCTACTTGGTGAAGGTTTATTTTCCAAGTGGCTATGAACTAGCATGTCCCTGAGATTTTTAGACCTTCAAGCTGTGATATTAGGATGTACAATGTGTTTTGGATCCAAGTCCTTGTCATACTCCAAAATCGGCCAATGTTGAGTAAAGATTTGCTTAATGGGTTGCCATTTTTGATTAAAAGTACCTATGTATCTTGTTAATTGGTTATTAGACATAGGTCTAGTAGATCGAAGACTCAAACTTCTATCTTGGGCAATGGTTTTCTGATATGCTTTCTTTAGAATACGATTGGGATAGCCTTTATTTTTAAATCGGATTTTAAGTCTTTTGGCTTCAGCTTGGAAGGATTCATCATTTGAGCAGTTCCTTCGAGCTCTCAGATATTGGCCGTATGGTATACCAGCTTTAAGACGATAGGGATGGAAACTTTTCCAATGCAAAAGGCTGTTGGAAGCCGTACTTTTCCTAAATAATTCAGTATCCACAGTTCCATCCATGTTTAATAAGATTCTTAAATCTAAAAATTCCAGTTGGGTTTCATGAATTACGTGTGTAAGTTTTAGACCAATGTTATTCACATTTAGTTCATTGACCATATCTATGAACTTCGGACAGGAACTGGTCCAAAATATTAAGATATCATCGATGTATCTTAGCCACTTGTGAATATATTGGTCATAATGTCCAGATGTTGTTTCTTTTAAGATAGTTGCCTCCCACCAGCCCAAGTATAAGTTGGCATAGCTAGGAGCACAAGCCGTGCCCATAGCAGTACCGCGTAGTTGTAAATAATATGTTCCGTTAAACAAGTAGTTGTGGGTCAAAATGAATTTCAGGAGCCGTAGAATGGTTTCCATTTGTTCCAAATTGTATTTGGAAGATTTATGGAGAAAAAAAGATGTCGCACATAAACCTTTATCATGAGGGATGTTGTTGTATAGAGAGACCACATCAAGGCTTGCAAGTAAGGTGTATGGAGGTACTACTAAATTTTCTAACATTAATAAGGTTTGTTTAGTATCCTGGACATATGACTCCAGATTAGTAACAAACGGATGGAGTATTTTCTCAAGAAATTTGCTGACCTTTTCAGTCAGGGAGTTATTGCCAGAAATGATAGGTCTCCCAGGTGGATTGTTAAGAGACTTGTGTATTTTGGGAAGGCAATAGAAGGTCAAAATCATAGGACAGTTGTTGGGAATCATAAATTTGAACTCCTCTCGACTAATAATGTGTTTCTCCAATGCCTGGGTTAGTAGCACCTTTAGTTCAAAAAGGAATGTTTTGGTTGGATCCCCTGGAAGAGCTTGGTACTGGTTCGTATCTTTCAAATGTTCCATACACATATTAACATAGTTTTGTTGATCCATTAAAACTATGTTACCTCCTTTGTCTGATGGTTTGATAATCAGATCTTTATTAATGTTCAGATCCCTAAGTGCCTCACGTTCGGCTCTAGTTAGATTGTCCGAATGTTTATCAGAAGAGGGCAATGACTCAAGGGCCTTTGTGGTCATCTGAACAAATAGATCTACACTGGATACTTCTTTGAAATTTGGTGTATACCAGCTTAACGGTTTACAATTGGTGAGAAGTTGTTTAGTGTCTTGTTCTTCCAGAAGGGATACCATAGTTTGAAGATGTTGATAATCATCATAGCTTAACCCCAATTCTTTGGCCAATTTATGATCTCTTCTCTTATGGATCACATTAAGAGCAAGCTTTCGTCCAAAGAGATTAATGTCCTTTACCCACTCAAATTTGTTTATAGTGGGAGAAGGGACAAAATTTAAACCCTTACTAAGCAGGGATATATGTTTACTTTCCAAATTAAAAGTGGATAAATTGATGATAAGATTGTCTTCTGTAGTGTCATAGTTTGTTAGTTCTTGTGACCTTCCTTGTTTATTTTGTACCCCCATCTTTTTCTGTCTCGGAGTTTGCCTCTCTGGGGTTGAGACCACTCCTGATCTAAAAAAGAAGAAGAGGAAGAAGCTCCTAAAGATGAAGGATTATCGGAGGTCAAAGAATTTGTAGTGGAGTTAGAAAAGTTATCAAATTGTGTGTCTGGAAAAGACACATTTTTATCCACTGATTTCAGAATACTTTTTCTTCTTTGTTGGACATTAGTTGGGATACTATTGGTTCTCCTTGGGGGACTAAAATCGGACCCAGACCAATCCGTTTCTCCGGATGTGGTAGAGTTCTGCCGACTATTGTATTTTCTCTTGTTTTTGTTTCTTTGTCTAAAGACCATACCCTCTTTGAAGTCTTTGTGATCTCTTTGGTACTTATGATGTTTTTTTTCCCTAATATGTTTTTTTAAAATTTCCAAATTGTTATTAAGTTTCGTTTCCATTAGTTTGAATTCAGGATGTGTTTGAAAGGCTTTAATTTTGTTAATTTCAATTTCAAGATTTTGGTTTACCACTTCCAAATGTGACTCTTCTAATTTAATGAGAAATTCCATAAGTTTGATTGAGCTATTTATTAATAAAGTGTTCCACTCACTAATTTGTATATCGGTTTTTACTTTCTCTGGTCTTGGAATATCTGATCTGAGTCCCCTAGGGACTAGCTTATCTTCAACATATTTGCGTAGACTAATAATTTCCCAATGTCCCTTAATTTGTTTTTTGTACATGTTCTGTATCTCAAAAAAACTTTCATTTATGTCATTAGGATTTTGTCTGGTTAAGGGCTCTAGGGAAAAGACATTGTTAATGTCGGTAATGCTTGGATCAGGATTAATAACGTTACTTAAATATGACGTCATTTTGATAGTCTGGTAACTTTTCTTATGAGGCTTCCATGAGATGGGTACTAAAACCCTACTAGAAGTAAACCATAAAAATAAAGAAAATTGGAAGCAGAAAGGATACACTCTTACAAGGGATTAACCCTTCAGAAACTCCAGCAGTAGTAAAAATAGAAAAAGAGAGAGCAGATGAGTGTCCTCGGAATAAGATATAACTTTTAATATTGAAATAAATTAAAATAATTTATGATAAATGTGGTGATAACTAGTGATGTCGCGAACCCGAAATTTTCGGTTCGCGAACGGCGAACGCGAACTTCCGCAAATGTTCGCGAACCGGCGAACCGCCCGAAACTCCATTGACTTCAATGGGGAGGCGAATTTTAAAACACACAGGGACTCTTTCTGGCCACAATAGGGATGGAAAAGTTGTTTCAAGGGGACTAACACCTGGACTGTGGCATGCCGGAGGGGGATCCATGGCAAAACTCCCATGGAAAATTACACAGTTGATACAGAGTCTGGTTTTAATCCATAAAGGGCAGAAATCACCTAACATTCCTAAATCACAATCAATATGGATTGACACCTGACATATGACATATTGACACCTTGACATATGGATTGACACCTGTCCTCAGAGCCCCTGATGCACACGGACACAGAGCAGAATAGAGACTGGTCCCCCTACATAGGGTCACTTGGCAGATATGGATTGACACCTGTCCTAAGGATCCCTGATACACACTGACACAGAGCAGAATAGGGACTGTTCCCCCCACATCGGGTCACTTGGCAGATATGGATTGACACCTGTCCTAAGGTTCCCTGATACACACTGACACAGAGCAGAATAGGGACTGGTCCCCCTACATCGGGTCACTTGGCAGATATGGATTGACACCTTGTTACAAACTGCTATTTGTAACGGGCCCTTTAAATGGCAAATTGCCCTGCTTCCCTGGGTTGTGGAGAAGCCTACTTGCCAGCCCCCTCCCGCATGACTATGGCCCCTGGGAGATTGTGAAAATGTATGCACTTTTATTTGGTGTGTATGGCCCTTTAAGACTGTCGGTGGGCATATTGGGGCTTATGGACTCTTTATGTGACTGGTGCTGGCCCTTTAAACACCTTTTTTGGGACATCAGGAAGATTGGGACACTGCCCCTTTAAGGCCGTGTCCCCAGACTTGTTGGGGACACGGCCCCTTTAAGACGGTGTCCCTGTGTCCCCAGACCTGGTGCAAACCCTTTGTGCCTGCCTTGCTATTTCCCACTTGGTTCAGTAAATGGGAAATTATTTCAGCTGCAGAGACTAAGTCCCATTCGGCGATGGGACTTAGTCTTTTTTCAGCCGCTTTTTTCAGCCTTATTTCACAGAGACTAAGTCCCATTCGGCGATGGGACTTAGTCTTTTTTTCAGCCGTTTTTTTCAGCCTTATTTCAGCTGCAGAGACTAAGTCCCATTCGCCATGGGACTTAGTCGTTTTTTCAGCCTGAAATAGACCGACCTCACAGCCCAAATCTATGGAACTGTTTTGGGCAGGAAAATGTGCTTGCGGTCGGTCATAAAGGGACCTCCAGCTAACTTTTTAACCCCTGGATGGATTTGGCTGATTTTTGGTTATGTTTATGTTTTAAGTGCGCTGATTCCAAATATGTAATTATGAAGATGGGATGTGTAGTTTTAAAGTTACAGGGTATGGCTAAAAACTGTATTTTTACTGCCTGTGTTTAATTATGTTAATCTCTTCCCAAACGTCATTTCGTTCAAAGTGGAGAGAATGTTAAAAAAATATATTTTTGTTCTGAGTGTGTGAAATGCTTTTCAGCCGCTTATAATCTTAAGCATCATTTGAGGAGCCATACAGGAGAGAAACCTTATTTGTGGTGTGTTTAGTATTGTTCTGATCAGTTTAATACCTTCCGCGTCTCCTATCATTGGACGTGTATATGGCAGCCATTTTAGGAACCGTACACCTGGGACCCGAGCAAGGTCACCTCGTTCAACAGGCTTGCAGCATATCCTCCAGGAAGAAGAGCCTGAACCCTTACCGCTGCACGTGTCTTACCTGTACATGGAAAGCTGCTGTGGTTCCTTGATGAGCCAGCTGCCCGTGAGTTAACATGTCCTGTGGAGAAGCACTCTGTCCTGTAAAGCCTCACCAAAAAAAAGGAGTGGTGTGTTTAGTATTGTTCTGATCAGTTTAATACCTTCCGCGTCTCCTATCAGTGGACGTGTACACGGCATTGATTTTATCTAAGCCGTAAACTTTTGCACAGCGAAGTATATTCACTGCCATTGAAAAGGAGTGCATGGCGGTGGTGTGGGCCCTCAAAAAGCTGCAACCTACTTGTATGGACAACCGTTTACCTTCCTCACAGATCACATTAAATTTGGGGC